ATTTTCTAGAACTATCCTGTACCTTGGCGAATGCTCTAGTATTTACTAGATATAGGGTAGTCTGGTATATAAATAAGACGCTCACAATGTGACAACAATGTGTGTGTAGATAGTGAGTAACTGAACTGCAGTCAGAAGTATTGTTGACGTTCGTTGATATAGCGTTTGTTATAGTGCGACTGTTGAAAATAAGTGTATCGTAAAGTTGTATTCGGAAAGAATAAACCAGTTTTATTAAGTAAGGACTTGTGTCGCTAAAGTTTCGTCGGAACGAAGTTACGGAAAGTTAATTAACTAACGGAGACGTAACAACATATACATTCTGTTTGTGAAATGAATGAAGATTAACTCAGTTAGTTAGAAAAACTACATTCTTTCGTGATAGATATTTTGACGAATTTATTTTTATTTTACGGACCTATATATTTTGTCACTCTTGAGGGAAATCGGTGTTACCTAAGAATACCATAGCAGATTAGGTTGCATGTAGTGTTGCCTTCACATGGATTTGTTGATGAGAGAGCACAACCAAAGGTTTTTTCCAATGATTAGCTCGGGTGAAAAGATGAACTATGAGATTGATACAACAGAAGGTTATCCGTGACCTTTGTCTCGCCCATTCTTGGCTATATAATTATTCTGGTCGTTTTCAAGTGTGTTAAAGCAGTAGTTGTAACCATTTCATAAAGAAGACAAACATATTTTTATTCAGACAGTTTCTTAAAAACTTTAGAACAGCTTGTGGTTAAGTAGACGTTCTACATAAAAATGACGTATTCAGCTGTCAAAATGCTTAATCCGATCCTGAAGGCTTTCACTTATGGTCAAGAGTAATACAAGTGCATCTACTTATGCATGTGGCCACTGCACTAGATAAAAAATTACACTTTTTGTCACGACTTCAGGCGTATCGCACATATGCAAAAATAGACACACAGGTTAAGTTGACTTTCCCTTTCTTAACTTACGAGTGTATAGTCTCCCGACACGAGTGACATGGCCGTCTGGAAAGTATTTGTAGAGCTTGAATCTAAATGTATTCCCAAACGAGGTAACGCTTCACCTCAGAATTACATTGGCGTTAGTGCTGTGAACTTAGCTAACTAGTCCTGTCTTCATTTGTAAAGAATACTTCAAACATAATTTATTGTTGTTTATTTGACAATAAAGTGTTTTCTTTCTTTCGAAATGAAACAAATGTACCAACTTCTCTCTTCAGAACATCTTGTTAATATAGTACTTTATTTAATTAATTATTTGGCCCGGATTTGGTTAATGGTCCAGCGTTCGCGTCTCATTACCGCAAAAATTTTAATAATCTTGTTCCACACTTTGGGAACGTACTATAAGGGTGATAGTAAATCCTAAGATTCGGCCAAACAAAAGTAGCCAAGAATTAGCGGTGAGTGCTGTTGACTAGCTGCCTTCTCTCTGGTCCGTCATTTCAAAATGAGGGTCAGTTAATACGGATAGCCCTTGAGTAACTTTGCGCGAATATCCGAAAACAAACAAACAACTTACTAGTTGCACTTTGTAATACCACCTCTATACGAGATTCAGCGTTTTCAAGCGTTAGTTCCTTACGAAGACAATGTAGGGTCACAACAGAACAAGATTGGCATCAGAAATTTTTGTTATTAATCCGTTTTTAACGGACATTGTTAATTCTATTTAAAGCAACACAGTGTCCGTGTAATCATCGTTCTAGTTCAAGAAAAGAATATATATATATATTTACTGCCATTAATTTTTTTTCTATGGCATCCCAACGGGTAATACTATCTTTAATTTTATTTCAAATACTTTTACCCAATGCGTAATCAATTTTTTCATGTACAAAAATATATTTTGTATCTTAATATGTCTTTCCGCAATAATACATGGTTGTATATTATTTGTTTGTATCTTGTCTTTAACTGTCGGCTTTTTAAGTTATTATTTTTGTAAAGTATGTCTTTAGCATATTTTATATAATGTATATATTTTCTAAACTTATCGTTTTTAAAGTACAGTTTTAAACATATGAAGTTTTGTATGTATATATTATATATTTATATACATATTTTTTTATCCTATCGAAAGGAGTAACAAGGAGAGAAGTCGCTTGTTCTCACAGTGCACGGAGTAGCACTGTTTGTGTGTCATTAACTAGTTTTGCAAAATTACTTTCTTCTGTCACTAGTGAATATAAAACCACTTGTTTATTTGGAAATCAGGTATCACCGAGTTCTTCACATAGCAATTTTTATGGAGTTTTGGAATGGTAATGTTGCAAACTACTTAAGTTATGTACTAGTTTCTGCCTGAGTTTGAAGCCGCCATACTTACGTTATGGCTATGCCTATGCTATCGTTCACCTTAAAGTTAAACTACACTCTATAGTGTATAGCGTTAATAATATTAATAAATGTGATGATAACTTGATAGTCATAAATAACTACTTAGTTGCACTGTTAACTGGCGTTAATATTACTACTACTATTATTACTATTAGTAGTAGACATACGAGTATTTTTAAAGTTTTATGACATTATTAATATTAAATACATTTAGACTGTGTGATGAAATTTTTAATCCAATTTATCTTTGAAATGAAATTTTATTTACACAAGTCTGATTAATAATACACGTAGTTCAGTAAATTAGGTCGTAAATAAATAATAGCTTGTATTCCTCTCTTGGTCTAATTTGTGACTTCTACAATAATCCTGAAAGTTCAACTTCAAGTTTGTTTTCCTTGTTTGTATTTATTTGTATAGTTGTGACTTAAATTTGTTCGTAGTCTTATTGTGAAAGAGTAGGGAGAAAGAAAAAGCAGCTTAATAATGTTATAAGAGTAAAAAAGTTCATAGAAAAATCATGTTGCTTTTATGAGAAAAGTGCTGAAGGTCTAGTGTTAATTAAGAAAGCATATCTAAGTCAGAACAAGTAACTGGCTGAGAGTATGGAGAATGAAAAAATTCTAAAATATTGGGTATATAATTGATTTTACTTGGAAGTATGAACATTTATGTAATAGAATATACAGGAAATCTACATGTATGTAATAGAATATACAGGAAATCTACATGTATGTAATAGAATATACAGGAAATCTACATGTATGTTTGCTTATCATATGCTAAAGATCAAAATGTTATGGAGAGCATATAAATTAATGGCAGAAGTTATGAAAAACTTTTTAAATGCATGTAAAAATGTGATAAAAATGAAAGGTGTTAAACAAATAGACTGAGTAGGGATATGAATGTTATGATTATAGCATTTTTTTAAAGAGAGATTTGCTCACAAATGAATGATTGAGAAAGTTATGATTTATGAAATTAAGGTTACAGAAACCCATATGTACAATTTGTCTTGTTCATTGTTAATTATAAGTAAAGTTATTTGCAAGTACTTTCAGTATTGAGATATTCTGAAAACAAGTTGCTTGAAATGTGTAACTTACGTAAGGGGGCTGAAAATATTACAGTTTCAAAATTTAAAAATTGCTAACTGTAATTCTCTTCCCCATGACAATTGAAATAAATGGTCAACACTGAAGTAGTCATGAGTATGATCTGTTTACAAGGCTTGAGTACATTATGTTAAAACAATTATGAATATGCAAATCAGCATATAAAGCTACAATGGAATGGCATGTATCAGAATTACATTTTGACATTGGTTAACATTTTGTAGGCAGTGTGATGCCATCAAAAATTGGTTGATTTTAGAAAATGTGCATAATAGCCCTTTCCAAAACCATCATACACTAAGGATATTTTCTTGTTGTTAATGGCATTGGAAAACAAGGAAGTATGGATTAATTTGGGGTTTTAGGACCATTCAGAAATATACCTGCAAAATGTCATATCCCTGCAGTGGCAAACTAAGTGTGGTGTCTTGTGTGGTGTGATGCCATCAAAAAGTGGTTGATGTTAGAAAACGTACGTAACAGTTCTTTCCAAAATCATCATACACTAAGACCAGAAAGATGTCTTCACATCAGGATTTAAATGATTTAAGTCTTCAAAATGGGGGTATTTTCTTTTTGTTAATGGAATTGGAAAACAAGGAAGTATGGATCAATTTGGGATTCCTGGACCATTCAGAAATATAACTGCAAAAAGTCATATCTCAGCAGTGGCAAACCAAGTGTGGTGTCTTGTGACAGGTGAGAATATACAGATATAAAGGTCAATGGCAAAAGCCATCCATGTGCCCCAGGCAAAAGTACACAACATAATCAAGAAGGATCTCCTTCTGGAAAAGTAACATAAGTCATATATACAAAAGTTCGAGTTGCTTTCATGATATATCTGATAAAAGGTTTCATACCTTAAGCAGCTGAAGAATGAAATGGGTAATATGTTATTCCTTACATGGCATACCAGTGAAGCAATGGTTAACTAAGGATATCTGTATGTTGGACTGTTCAAACAGATGCTGGAAAACTCTTGCCTTTATACATTAGATGGATTATGGAAAGCAAGTAGGGAGGTCTGGTGTGCTTTGGACAGTATATTTTTACAGTTGAGCCTTTTGCAGTGAAAATTACACTGCAGGGCTATTGTTAAGACAGAACATTGTTGTACATGTTTACATGGACTGTAATGATATGATGAAGCTCCAGATTTGTTTTAACAGAATGTACTCAGCATCTGTATAATGATCCTTAGATTCAAGTGTTATTTAACATTTGAAAATTGCTGATCATATTGTTTTTAATTTTAAAATGTGATAACTAAAAATAGAGAATGCAACATGTATATTCAAGTTTTTAACACAATGATTTATGCAGTTTTATTTTTTTTTTTAAATATTTAAATTCATGTTAGACATATATTCTTAATTTAGCTCTTGAATAAGACTGAATTAAGGCAGAGATGTTTTCATCTGAATAATCACTGATAATGATAAACATGTTTTTAATTATTAATTTGAAATGAAGCTTCATTATATAAGAGTGATCTTGGAATGTTCACTCTAGATGTATATTGTTGTAGATATCATGATGAAATTGTAGACAAAAGAAAAAAGGTAATACTTGTCCAGAGTAGTAATTTAGCAAACGTTTATTATATACATTGAATTTCAAAATAATAGAATAATCAATTTTTCTAAATTGTTGCTGTTTGTATGTTCAGTATACATTGTTCATGTAGCTACAATATATTTTTTTTCAATTTTCTTTTTATTTTAGGTCCATATTTTAAACACCTTGGTATGATATGTAGAACTGGTGTCACGAAGGAAACCTGACTGTCATACAAGAGGAAACAATGGAGGAAATTCGCTTTCCGTGTCAATTTATAAAGTTTTAATAGACACAGTTTGTGTTCTGGCAAAATAAATTTGTTGACATTTGTTGTTGAATACCATCTGTTGTATGATATAGAAATGGCATCAACATTGAATGAAAATAATTTGGAAAAGAAATTCCAGAGTGTGACTAATACTCAAGATGGAATACAGTCTCTGTCCTTGTGGATCCTGCATCATAAAGTTCACCATAAGAAGATTGTGGAAATGTGGATGAAAGTTCTTAAGAAAGGTAAACAGGAGTGTCATTTTACCAAAAACTGGGGAGAGGCAAAGAAGGTTGACCTCACCTGGTCCCTACAATGTAATTTTCATACATATGTTAACCTAGCTTACAGAAATTTCTATTTGGATCTCCATCCTTGGTGTCAGCCCTGTTGATCCCCTTTATTAGAGCAGGATGATCGAGTCGATTAATTGGTATAGCCAGTTACCTATGAGCTTCAGTTAGTGTCGTGTAAGATAATCAGTTAATCATAATTATGATTAGATTGAATAATATCACAAAAATAATCAACCAATTGAAATTATTGTTCTTGGTTATTATTGTTTTCAATTATTCTAACCATCAAATTCTGCTAATTGCTCAGCTCTATCTAATATAACCATGTATGTGTCAAGTAGTTTAGTATGTAATGTAATAAGGCAGACAGTACTGAGTTTTACTCATCAGAATGTTATAGCTACAAATAAGACAATATTTACAGTGCGAAGCATTGTAGCTAAAATAAAAAAAAATGTTTGGAACATTCACCAGTGAATAAAATGTACATGCAATGAATATTTGTTGAAAGAAAAATATAATATTAAAATAGGTATTCATGTGCAGATTTGGAAGTATCAGATTTTTGTTTTACACTCGCCATTAAATATAAAACAGGATAATCAGGATTTTCTATACTCTGGATTTTACAGGTACAATTGCCGTTACTGGATAATGTCAATGGTACCCCTCCCCCGAGTTCATTTCTATGCAAAACAAGTGTTAGAACATTAAATATGTTGAGTAAATGTTAAAAAAAGTTTGTACTTGCATGCCTTTACTATATGTATTCTTTTATTGAGTAAACTTGAAAATTTTTGCTATCAGTTTAATATTTTAAGAAGGTTAAAGTATATTAGTTCTTTATTTATTATAAGTATGAAAAGTTCTTAAAATATCTGTCTGTAGAAATACAAACTTCATTCATTATTTCTGCTTTATTTCATAAGTTTAAAAGTTAATACAATTAAAATTTTTTAGATTGTTTCATGATTTGTATAAGAACATTTTATTGTACTTTTTAAGCTAATTATTAATCATTAAAAACATGTCTACAAAGGTCATATAAATCCTGTAATTTTGGTCAAATTTCATGTATGACAGTTTTTTTGGTTTTTTTCACTTCTTTAATGAATAAGTTAATTTTGAAGTAATAATGATGGGATTTAGACATAATCTATAGTTTGAATTCTGGAGATAAGCTTCAAATTCTGTGTGAAAGCTTTGTATTTGTCTAATAAATAATAAAAATGTGTATACATTTTTATACATATCTGTTACTGATGTATTTTTGTATATATTTATTGTACACGTTTTTCTTCATCATGTAGACGTACTTACTTGTATGGTTGAGCAGATGGCGAAAATACTAATTTTCAACGACCTATCTTTTCTGATATCTAGCATTGCTTCTACTATCTTTCCCAGGTCTGTGTGAAGTGTTTAAAAAAATTATCTAAGGGGCAAGATGTTATAAAAATCTTCTACTACTAATTAAAAATGTACTCCCCCCCTCCCTATCCCATAAAATGCAAAAAAAAGTAGAATTTAACTTTTAGGATTTTGCTGTTACTTAACAGTGAACATAATCAATAAAGTGCCATTGGCAGCTCCATTTTGTCAGGAATGTATATGTATTGTCATGTATATGGCAATTTTTTATATGTTATTTTTAATATTTAGTCATTAGGATTTTACAGTGCAGCATGTAGAATACAATATATATGAACTGATAAAGAAATATAAAATCGTTGTTTACATTAATGCTGCTGTAAACTGAGAGGGTGTTTAATATGTGTGTATGTATATTTACGATTTGAGGGTCTTGGGTTTGATTCCCATTGCTTCTAAACTTGATTGCCCTGTCTTTTGTTATTGCAAAGCTACTAAGGCTACATGCCACTGTTATTAACTTTGATCTGCTGATTCGAGGGAAGGCAACTGTCTGGCAGCACCAACTGCCAAAATTGTCTGGTTACTCAAATTTAAATAAAGTGTAAAATTTACTCTTTTCTATTTCTGTTTTTACATTACGTTGTATTCTAATTTATAACTGTACAACTGAATTATTATATATGATAAGCAGTTTCTGTCTTTGTGTGACGCTCTTTATTTGGTAATAGTCTATAATTTACATTGTTGCTTAGCAACAAAACTATTACCTGATATTGTTGAAAGGTCAACTATGGTGTTTATATTGAATGCTTAATATACTCATTGATTTAGATTTAGAATTGATATTTTTTCTTTCATGAAACGTTTTATGCACTTGGACCAAGGGTAGGTTATTGTACTGTCTTTACTTTAGGCTTAATTACAAAACAAGTATGGTTCTCACTAGGGTCCTGGATTCTCAACTTTTATTTTTCAAGAGTCCCAGTGAGATTTTTCAAAGGTCCCATAGGTAGAATTTAATAAACATAAAATTTTGTGCTTGTTATAGTTTTCATGCTATAACTATTAAATTAGTAAGCGAATGTTAACGAAATTTTGCAGATTATCAGTAAACATTAGAATGCTTTCATATGCAAAATATCAATTTTTTTTATTAAGTCGTCAGGTTAGTAAACCAATGTTTCTCTCATGCCTTTTTTTCTTTTCACATCATGCCTATCTATTATGCAAAGTAATTTTCATGTTAATATTAAAAATACTTTTATGCATCAGAAAATTTTGAAATTTTATATGCGAAATCTTTATAATGTTCATATTGCTATCAAACTTTTCTTAAGAAAAAAACTGTATATTTTATCTGTTATTTTCAGTAATTA